CAGCATTTTAGCTGATTGGATTTTCTTTGTTACAGAATGCTACATGCTTGCTGATTTCTGTTGGATGAAAGCAAACAAACAATCCCAGAGGATGGGTGGCATCACTGGGATTCAAATGAATCACAGTGATAAATGCCATGTTGAAGTCTCAGTACAAGCCAGGTATTGTGCCAGGCACTTAACACATATTAACCACATTCCATCAGTCCAACAAGACAGAGCTTATCAAACAAACCCACTTCACAGATGATCACAATGTTTAGAAATGTGCCCAAATTCACACAGCTGTTAAGGACAAGGTTGAAACTAGACTCCTGATCTGGATTAGTTTAGATCTCACACTATTCCAATTCTCCCAGCCTGAGGCCCACCGTGTGTTTCTGAATTCAATTTTCTTTTTTCTTCTTAATAATGTATCTCAGACAATAAAAATAAAGAATCTATGGTCATGCTACTGGGCTGGACTACATTCCCATAGCAATAAGAATACCAAAATAAATGAGAGGCTGAATAGAAAGCTAATACTTGGAAACAACATGATCATCTGCACATACAATGTTACATAACCTGAAAATACCAGAATTTCATAAAATTATCCCAGACATCCCCTTCCCTGTAGAATAGCAGAACAGACTTTACATGAGAATCTAAGTATGACTGATGAAGAGAAGGAAAATATCAACATATTTTTGCCAGACAGTCCCTTACCTGTCCTGGGACTCCTGACTTGTGCTTCAGCTACCCCATCTCACATCACTCCTAAAACCAAGGTTTGCAGATGGAAAACCGTTCAGGGTTTGCAGGGATGTGGCATTTCCCAGGAAGCATTCATCCCAAGAGGCAGAAGTGAAGAGGAGGACCCCAATGTTAGAGGGCTGGATAGATAAGCAACCCGGAATATTGGGGATCACACACAGACATGCTTCCACCTGCTCTCATACTTAAAGGGCCCCAGACAGAGCTGTCAGGCTAAGCATACCCGAAATTATTCTTCAGGACTTCCAGGGACTTAAGAGCCTTAGCCTAAGAAGGACAACCTCAGGTCAGCAGATAAATAGATACAAAGGCAAGAACACTGAATGAGGAGTCATGAAAAGACCCAGACAAAACAATGGGGTTCCATAAAACCCAGCTCAGGCCATCAACCCTTGCCTGTCTGGAAAAGTCCTGGAAGGATGTGGCTCATCCTGACTTCCAATTTGGAGGTCGCCAAAAGGTGAGTACCTTGATTTAATGGGAGCAGCCTCAGGGTAGCAGAGAGCAGAGCCCCAAGAATGGTCAAGTGTCAAGGTGTAGAATCTGAATAAGACTGAGAGAACCACCCATGGCAAACAGAGTAACACCGCAAATTCCCCCAATGTGGTTGGTCCTGGGATGCTCAGGACAGAATTGTGACAGAACCCCATTAATCTTCCAGAAGTGATCTCGTGATTGATGGAGACAATCCCACATATGTAGAGAGAGAAAACCCAAGCCTTAACACGAGCTGTAATAAACCTAAATGTTATGATGGAAGCCCCACTAGCAGAGGGAGCCAAACAGAGCCCAAGCCTATTCTTAGCCCTGGGAAAGTGTAAAAGAGCTATCACTACTTAACACCTGTGAGGTCTTGAGAGGGAAGGCTCTCGGGTTAAAGGATGCAGCTCCAGTTCTACAGACAAAAAGTAGTTTGGGCCTTAATTGAAGATAAGATGAGAACCCTGAGCACTGAAGATAAGACCGCTGCCTAAACAAGGGACTTACAGGGAATTTACCTTGCTGTCAGGCTTATGTAGCAGAAGGACTAGATCTAAGGTCTATAAGCAAACTTCCCCGCATATAAGGACAGACTCAGGTGACTAAAAAGAAGAGTCCCAGGCTCAGATAGAAACCTGGTTAGGAAGCTGAGTGAAGACCAAAGGCCCAAAACTCTTAAAAAGTGGGGTCTGGACCGGCGGGGAATGGCTCAGAGGCTGAGCGTCGACCTAGGATCCAGGCGATCAGGGTTTGATTCCCGGTCAGGGTACATGCCTGGGTTGCAGGCTCAATCCCTAGTTGGGGGCCTGCAGGAGGCAGCCAATCAATGACTCTCTCATCATTGATATTTCTCTCTCTCTCTCTCTCCCTGTCCTTTCCTCTCTCTGAAATCAATAAAAATATATTTAAAAAAAA